GTGACCTTGCTCTTCGAACGTCTCCAGCAACGCACCACTGGGCAAGTACGGAGGGTGTCAAAGAGCCGTCACACATAGGTGATACCCTATGTAATGATCTACCGGCACAGAACTCACATTTGAGTTCGGTCGCAAATTTGAGCTCGGCTGCACGTCGAAGCACTGTTGTGTCACAAGGAACAGAACATACTCCTATTTCCAGCGTTCAGCATATCTTTAAACGCTCATGTGCTTACGCTATGAAGAAACCATAGCAAAATAAACAAAGTCGAGCATTCTTGCTAGATAGCGTGACACTGGTGAGAAACGTTAGTAGCATGGTCTTAACTATGTCGGGTCTGGGCTGATTGCAAACGTTCTACCACTGTACAAAAATGTTTCTGCATGGTCAAATAGTCTTGATATTTTATGTACTTCGATTACTACATGTAGCTGATATCAACGCACATTTCGCAATTGTTGTCCTTTACTTTCAACCTTCAAATACACAGCAGCACCGAGAAAAGTAAATTTGATACATTTAAGAGCCTCATCAGATAAACAAGATAACGAGTTCCGGTTTCGGCCTCAACTTTGGGAATTGAGGCAACTGAAATACTACGAAGATAAAGATTACCGCTATATCTTTGCAAAACAACGAGCTGCTAGACTGACGGACTGCAGACTGTATCTATGTACTACTGCACCCCGTTTTCGCGCCCTTGGACCTATGATAAACTTTCGAATGTGATGATCCCGAATCGAAATCAGCTATTGTTTGTAAGCTTAAATATGATTTATGCGAAAACGGGGTGCAGTACTGTAGCATCGGAACAAATAACTCCAAAGTACTTGAGCTTTCACAGCGTTAATTGTTTGCGAAATCAATTAAGTTCGCATATCGTGTACACTGATTTTGGAAAACAATCCTCTCTGATCGATTGCAATAAACTGCTATACTCTAACGTGTATGTGAGGGTACGGGTTTGCTTACAAAAATCAACATGCTTGATAGCTTGTATAGTGGATAGCCTCAAGATAACCCTACTCATAGAGAGAGTTTTTGAATTTGAATTTGTTGCGGTTATGGCGACTACGCCCGAGGCGCGCTACGCTGCATCCTCGCCTACAGACCCTAAGTGCTAGCCCAGTTCCTGCGGTAGCTACCAAGAGAGAGAAGTTCTTAATTTATCTTGGACCTCCACTATTTCTTTAGTACAAGAGTTGCAAAAATACATGTTATTACTACACAGCTGTATGATTGTCAGTAAAACCGGGGCGGGAGTGTGAAAAAAACGTGTGGAGACTGAAAAAAATGAGAAACAGAAGTACATAATGAATGCAAAAAATCAGATGTAAAAAAATCCATGACGCACCAAAAGCCCATAGCTAAAATAAGAACAAACCTACGGGCGCAAGCACATTATTAGTCAGCAACCTCAGTTTCGGTTGCCAGACGGGCCCGCTTTCGAGCAGCATCTGTACACTCATCACTAGATCA